GACCCAGCGTGCCCGGGCTGCTGGCCACAGCCCGCGCGGTGCAAAAAAGGGCCCGGATCGCTCCTGGCCCGCACATGGTGACGAGGATGGGATCAGGAGAGAACACGCTAGAGCTGGAATTAGTTAAGAACTGCCCTTGGCGTGATAACAAATGCCAAGTGAAAAGTTTTGAGGAGCTGGAGGCGCATATCGCTTACCACCAGGCAGGCAGAATGGGTGAGAGATTTGTCAGCGGACGCCTTTCGCTGAAGGGAGAAGAGGGAGCCTCCGAAGACGGAGCCCCGAGAGAGAGAGAAGTGTATTTGCTCCCTGCAGCGTTCGGGTGTATAATGAGCGACGAGCGGGTCCTGTTCAGGCCCCTCGATACTGTGTCCCTCGCCAGAGTCAACCCGGCGGGCGCAGTGAACCCGACCCTCACCCGGGAGTGTGCCCAATGCCTACGATATGCTTGGGAGAGTGAAGAGCCGGTGCCGATCGACCGGTTCCCTCCCCTCACAGCGTCTAGATTAAGGGGTCGCGAGCTTCCATCCGAGCTCCGTGAAGATCTGGAGACAGAGGGACGTGCCGCAGATGAGAGAGTGGCCCCACAATATGACAAGGGGGGAGTACTAACTGCAACCTTTCGTACAATAACTGATTTAATGCAAAAGAATTTAAGTTTGGAGGCCCAGCTGCGTATGGCTGTTCAGGCAGTCAAAGAAGCGGCTGAGAGAAGGGAACCTGAGATGCCACGACAAGATGGTCTCCTCTCCCCTCCTCCAGTGCCTGCAACCCCCTACTTACCAGCACAGATTCCAGGTCCAGCTGCCTGTGGCAGTAAGCAGGGACTGCCTGAATGTTTTCCAAATTGATTTGGAGAGCTTTAAATCGATTCAGACCTTTTTATTGGTCTCCTGATTCAATTCAGATTCAGAGATTCAACTGCCGAATCAGGCTGAATCTTCTCCAAATAGAATCAGCACCCAAAGCTTTGCACAGCCCTACTATCAATGAGGAACAACTAGAACAAAATCAGTGCGTAGGACTCATTTCAGGGCATGTTGCCAACATACTGACAGGAACCTGCCACTTGCATCTGTGTGTTTTCACCTGATGCACAGTGATAAGTGGGGAGAGAGACAGCAAACAGACAGCACAAGGGAAAGATGGCCAGGTAGGATGCTTCCTTTCCAAGTAGTTCCTTCTCCTTTTTTGCAATAGGGTCCATGTAGCCTGTCAACCATAAAGAAAAAAGGGGACAAAACACCAGGATCCCTCTCTCTCTCTTGCACATATTCACTCCCACCCCACAACCCACCCAGCTCTCTGACAGCTGCAGAAGAGCCACAGTAAAAAAGGGATGAAATGTGGATGCTGCTTCAAGCAGCATCAAGTTTCAAGTATTTTTGGATCCCCGCAGAGGCAAGTCACGGTGCAGCAATGGTCAGCTAATCAACTGTATCAGTGAGCCTGGCCTGGCTACAATGGTAACAGCTGATGGGGGACTGTGCATGGGATGATCCAGAGGATTATGGCCCAGAATACCTCCAACTCCCCTACCCCTAACTCCAACACCTTTGCTGACTCTGGCATCCAGGATTAAAAGGTAGCAAAAAGCCAAATCAGATTGATATTCCTTTTCTTCCCTGCCAACTCTAAACCTCTACAAATAGGGGTGGGCAATTATTTTGGGTGGAGGGCCATTTACTGAGTTTTGGCAAGCCATTGAGGGCCGCATGACAGGCAGCTAGGGGCAGATAAATATTAATTTTCTAAATTTTTTAGGGGCCCCGCAGACTGGATAGAATGGTCTGGCGGGCCGCATTTTGCCCACCCCTGCTCTACAAGATGCTGCTGAAGATGACAAAATTGGCATAAAAAAGAACCAAGGGCAACAAGAAACAGAAGGATTGTGCTGACCGGCAACACATTCGCCCACGACCTGAATGCACTGTAAGTGAACATATGATAGGGGTGAACAAGGAGAGCAGAACTTTAACCCGCAAGTTAAAAGTTTGCTTCTAACCCCCAGTGCTGGTTTCTGGGGATTGTGAACCTTTCCAACAGTATGTCAGCACAATTAGGTTAAAGGCTCTGCCTCCTCTAAAAGCTACATGGCTAAGTTCAGTGGGCTTTTATTCATTTGTTTCATGAACAGGCTGATAAAAAGGTGATTTACCTTCAGACACGAACTGACACAGGCTTGTTCATCAGCAGTTAGTAATTCTACTAACATCTCCAAACACAGAAAGCACCACCATTTTGGACACTGCTTTAAGAAGAGCCAAGGGAAACATCAACCCCTGAATGCTTATCCTGGACCAAATTTTGCCTCAAGGTGCTTGTATGCACCTTGGTGGGAATGGAGTCATCTCACAATATCACCTGCTTCCAGTCATTTTTAACTTGTTTTGAATTGTTTTGTATGTAAGTCCACAACTTGTGTGCTTGTAATTTTCGATCTTACACATCTCAATTTATTTTTAAATGCCTTCCAATTAAAACTTTTATTAAAAACAAAAAACAAACCTATACTCTTACTGATGGCATAAATCCTGTTCAGGCTCCAGCCGCAAAGACCAGACCTCCAATATGGAGAAACACAATTGCAAATATACAAAAAAAAAAAAAATTCAGGCAGTCAGTTCTGTGCAACATGTGGACAGACCTTGCCAATATTGGACTGCACAAGCTGTCCAAAACAAAGAAATAGTTTGCACTAGTGGAAGCTGCTAGATTATGCAGAAATGAAGGTGTTGAAAAAATGGGGCAACAACTGCCAAATCTAAAAGCAAATGAGCCAGAAGATCAATCAAACCAGTCAGAGCATGAACTTACAATAACACTGTTGAGAGATGGACTTAACATTCCATTCACTCCCTAATCCTGTTTGTACTGTGTGTCCTACTTGCTGTATACCTCAAACAAAACTTATTCCTTAACAGGAGCCTAGTCATGCAATAACAAAAGAAAAACAGGCTCACCTGACGGGGGGGGGATGAGGGGGAACACATTTTTTAAAGGAAATATTTAAAGTGATGAATACTAGTTTCTGCAATTTTCTTTTTTTCAGGTGCAGGAGCTACCAAAGATAGCATCGTCACTGTTCATCTTTCCCATTTCAGATCCACCAACTGATGAGACAACAGCGTATCAAAGCTTAATATATACATAGCAGTCCAAAAATAAAGCTAGTGCTGGCTATTCAGATGATTTAGCAGCCATTCTATAAACACCACTGATGGATGATGATTAGTGTGCTATATCACTGTCAAAAATATTCTGACAATTCCAGATTTTTAGATTGTGCTTTCTTGACTGACACAGTGGTTTTAGGACATCCCTTTCAGACTCCAGACTAGGATTTTAGAACAACCATATTGTGCTTTCATACTGTGCTTTTCTGGGTGTGGGCATATGAACAGTTTACCACAGGAAAACGACAGACAGGGTTTTAGCATGCATCAGCTGTGTCATTGTAGCTCCCTGTGACCACACGCTTTACCTGTGGTAAATGGAAAAATTCAAGAACAGTAGGTGTGTTCTCTTCTACTGAGAGCTAAACTCCTGTAGTTTTCCTTCCATTTATTGCAGGGCAAGAGCACACACTCAAAAAGGCAGTTCTCCTGAAAAAAATGACTCTCAGAAAAGCCTTACCCCCAGTTTAAACTTGTGGTAAATTGTTCATATGTTCATTTCTTTTGATTGTAGGAGTCTAGGAACGTCCTTCCTACATACTGGCTCCAACTCTGGAATAACAAAGAGACTGCTCCTAAATAATCCTTCCCGCTGAGGTAGGATTGGACTTTGGGAACAGAATCAATGCTGTGTGAATGCTCATGCAGTACAGACCATCAATAAAGCTAATAATGTAAAAAGCTTTCCTTCTGAGCCTTGATTTAACTTAAGGAGCTCCCTAGTTATCTGAGATAATTTACAAGGTCAAGAGGAAGCTACTGTACAGGAAGATATAAATACAGCCTGAATTAGTCTACTTCCTTTTACTGCCACTCCTTTCAGCTGTCAACGTCAAAAGCCAAACAACTGACCTCCCTTGCAACTGCAGTAACTGTAAAGTTTGTCCACATCATTCTTGGCTTTATTTTATACCTCTGACAAAGAGCAACTTAGTTTCACTACAGCAAAACTTGACATGTTTCCCTATGAACTCCTTTTCACCAATTGTGCTAAGTTTCTAGAGGACAAACAAAGGACAGGAAAGCATCTATTTGATTCTTAACAATGACGTCTTCTGGATGCAAGTTATGTGGCAAGTAATGAGCCAGTGACATCTCCCAAGCATCCACAAAGAACACAGCAATTCCTGAGAACATTTTCCTCATGATTGTGTCAAGCTGAAAGGAATACCAGTCACTGTTGAACAGGCTCACTTCTGGCCCAAGCTCCTGGACATTAGCTGTTCGGATGACCACCACTGTTTTGGGGCTGCGATCGAGCAGTCGCACGATTGACCTCCGAATGTTCCTCAGTCTCCGGATATACACCTCCAGAGGGAAGGTGCTGAAGTGCGACCATATGGTTATGGCTATCACGGTGTTTCTACCGCCTACAATGCCGTTTAGCTCATTGGCGATATAGCGTAGCTCGCTGGTGAAGACCGTCGTAAAGCGAATGGGTGGTCCATGACAACGGAACTTCAGCAGGATGCTGTGCTTCAGGTCCACGGACATAAAAGGACCCACGTTTTTAGGGCTCCCAAGGTTAAATTCCACTAGATCTAAAATGTAAGAGAACAAATATTTGTTTCCTCATCTGCCATCTTCTACCATCTCTAAAAAAGCATTTGCACCACTTACAGACCAAACAGAGAAAAAGTGTTTAGTATACAAGGGTGACATCTTATTCTACCAGTTAGGTGCAAAGTGTGATCCCTTTTCTACCTTGTTCAATCCCTGAAAAAACATTACCTTTCTATTTTGGTAACATGCCATCATCTCAGCCTTAATACTAACTCACAAAAAGTAGCAAGCAGAAGGACTCTCCCACCTCCTGCATTAGAAAATTTTCAGGGCCTTACAGTCAATCCTGTTTTACCATATTTAGGTGGCTAAATCCACTTAGGTGCCTAACAGGTAGAATAGCATCTGGCCCAAAGCATCTTAACAATACAAGAGATGCACATAATACATCTGAACTTCAGCTGATCACTACTGGAAGGCTAAAACAGCTTTACTGAAATGCCAACCAATAAAAACCCCCACCATCTTTGATTAATTTCAGATGAACTGTTTCCCCCACCCCACATACCTTCTTGTAAAAGAGCAGCTGTGCAAGTATATTTTCTCCATTATAACACTCCTCTAAGT